TAAACGTATGCTGTTTCGCATTTTAAAAGTAAGCATCTGTTTGATGTTGGGGGAAATCAAATTGTAGGCTGCAGATGTGATCCTGTTGTCTGTGGAAACATCTATTTAAAGCCTAGATCTCTAACCAAGTCTGGAGGCGGCTGCCAAGGTTTCTGTGTTCCTTTACCTGTTTTCTGGTCTTTGTGGGATGAAGATTTGGGGAATTTTTCCGGCTCAGGTGTCTTCTTTCCTCCTGTGTTTAGCACTTTTTCTAGCCTGGGATCATTTTCCAGCCTCCCACTGCACTTCCTCTCTGATGTAAGAGCAAAACATAGTGGCTGCAGACACCCGTGGCCTCGGGATTCGATTGGAGAGCAAACCCTGATGGTCTTTGGATTTGAAATCACTGCGGGGGGGGGGGGGGCTTTCTACTGAGATGCCATGAAGCAAAATGTTCTAGTTTGATGTAAAAACTCAACATTCCAAATCTTTATTCTCTTTTGCTTTTCCTTTTCTGCCTTTTCTATGAAAGGTGTAGGTTGTTAAAAAACCAAAATGCAGTGGAGTCCATTTGAAGATCTAATTGGCTTTATTCAATGATTCATGAATCAGGAGGCATCCCATCTGGCAAAGAGAAAAAATGTTCCGAGGAGCTGAACATAATGGGAGATCTTTAAAAGTAGAAGGGGGCAGGGCCGAGGAAAGAGCAGATTCCCTCACTTCCTTTGGGGGATGGAGGGTGGGACCGTAATCAGTGGATTACCTGCTACTGCTGACCAGGCAAGTCCAGATTGACTGGTTTAAGCTTACAGTCCTGGGAGAAGTTGAAACTGCAGTTAGGTTGGGAATGAAGTCTCGGTTTGCTTATGTGAGGCTTAGTACAGGGGACTGCATTTTGGGCCTGTTGTCTCTTTTTTTTAACAAAGTGAAACTACAACATCTAAGTTTTTTAGAAGGTTAAATTTCTGTGTTTTGAAGATCTGGGTGACGTTTGACAGAATGTCACGGAGCTAAATCATGAAGAGTGTGTGTGTATGTGTGTGTGCGCGCGCATGTGTGTGTAAATGGGTGAAAGTGGGTCCCATGCACTTTTTCCCCTAGTAGTAAATATATCTGGTTCTCACCTATCTTAAAGATTCAAAGTTTGTAGAGGTTTTTTGTTGTTGTTTTTGGCTTTTTTTTGTTTTTTGGTGTTTGTTTGTTTTGTGTGTGTGTTTCTGCATCCCACTTCCAACTCTCATACCCATCTTACTTATTTACATCAACAGAAAGTACTGAAAATTGTAACCTGTTTACTCTTTCATTATTCTCTGGAACGCCTAGCTCTTAAAATCCAATTTGAGAGAATATTCTTATAACTGAACTTAAACTCAAGGGAGAACTTCATATTTAGACGCTGTAAGGGGAAATGCCCCAAACTAAAAGCCTCCAAAAATAGGATCTCAGATACCAAATTTAGGAAGGCTAGACCCTCTATAAGTGATGAGAATAGTGAGTCTTATTTTTATAATAATAATTGGTACTATTCATTACGTGCTGGTTACATTCCAGACTCCATCTGCTATATATCAGTAACAATAAAGCGAAATGTTTTTTTGTTTGCTTGTGTCATACCAAAAAGGCTTAATGGATTGTTTTCAATTTAAAGAGATCTGATTACAAATAGTGACAGATACGCTTGCACTCAGTCGCTCTGTGAGGCCACTGGCAAGTGTGGGCCTGACCCTCTGAAGAAGCAGAAAGTGAGGTACGACCAGAGGCTCCAAGGCTCGAGGATGTGGAGGACAGGCATGCTGGGAGGCATATGTGAAAATGCAAACAAGGATTATAACCAGGAGCTCCAGGAGGGAAGTCATGGACCAGGTGCTCCAAAGGAATCGTGTTCAATGTAAGCCAAGTTGCTTCTCATTTGGACAACTCAATGACATATACTGGAGGAGGGAAGGAACACAGTAGTTTTTGATAATAATTAATGAGTCTTGAGCAGTGCTGGAAAAGCTCGGCAACATTTTGTGTGTTTGTGTCTGTACGTATGAGTGCATGAGTGTGTGCCTGTACATGTATGTGTCTATACATGTGTATATGGTATGTGTCTACACATATGTATAAGCAATATGTATGAGTATTATCTGTTCATGAGTATGTATCTGTTGTTGAGTTTATATACATATGTGCCTATGCGTGTATATATGTATGTCTGAATACAAATTGTGCATGTGTGTTTATGCACATGTATGTATGTCTGTACATACGTATGAGTGTGTATCTATACATATAGTGTCCATACACGTGTGTACGAGTGTGTCTATACGTGTGTATCTAGGCATTTCTATGGCTGTGTGTCTATTCATGTATGGATATTTGTATCTGTATTATGTATGTATCTGTGCATATATATATATGTGTATCTTTGCCATTAAGAGCTTGGGCAATAGAACAGGACAGAACTGGGTTTAAGACTCTTCCATCATAATTGTGCAACCTTGGAGAAATTTCTTGACCTCTTTTCCTTTCAATCACTTTATCTTTAAATTGGACATAATAATCATTCATGCCTCATAGGTTGTAGTGAGGGGCATATCGAAAGATGTTGGTAATGCTCTGGCTTATAAGCAGCTAAAAGCATTAGTCATCACGATCATCACCTTCATCGCCATCTCTAGTCCTCGTGTCCTGAGGACGCTGAGGCTGTGAGAGTGAGATACCCCCTTCCAGTGACGCAGGCGGTACATTGTAGGTCCAGGATGCTAGCCCCGGTTGGTCTGTGTATTGCCCAGAAGTATCTGTTAGATTGTGATATCTTTGCTGCCTTTCTGCACGATCTGGAAAAAACAAGTTGATGGCTCTGGTTATGAGCTGTAGACAAGGTTGCTCCATCACCATGGGTGAATGGGAGTCCCTTGCACTGTTTGTACGTCTCTAGTTGAGAACAGGGCAATGGTCCCTGTCCTGGGCAGTGTGGGCTTTGGAGTCCACCAGACCTGAATTTGAGTCCTTAATGTAGCACTGTATGACCTGGGCCCAACTTTTGTTTATTTGTTGCTTTTTTCTTGCTTCTTTGGGTGTTTTTAGGACCTCAGATGTACAAATTGGACTTCTAGTAATCCTTGGTTAATGATACACTCTCATCTGTGTTCCCTCTTTATTTATTTGGTTATTTTTTAAATGCAATGAGACCACGTTCCTGAACAAAAGCTAGGATTTGACAGTAACCCAGTAAACCATCTAACCATTGGGCTGTTCCCTCATTTCATCCCAGTTCCGCCTGCATTGACCTCATCCTGAATCTCACGTTTATTACTCCTTTATTTTCCTGTACATGCAATCTTATTGCATTCATAAGTATTCTGAAAAAGACACTTTTAATCATGATTGTTTTTTACTTTCTGAAGAGGACATAATGTTGCATGTAATCCTTTGAGATTAGCCTTTTATTGGGGAGATTCAGCTCCATTCTGATATGCTGTACTACATTTACTTTGTTCTATTGTTTAATATTCAAATGTATAAGACATTCCATAGTTTATTTATACACTCACATGTTGATGGGGCATTTGTGTATCTTCAGGATTTTACTGTTGTGGAGAGAGCTGTTTTGACATTGTTGAACATAACTCTTCATGCACATGTCCAAGAATTTCTCTTGGACAGGAGTGGAATTGCTGGATCATAGGGTGGATGAATGTTTAACTTCAGGATATATTACCAAATTGTTTTTCAAAGTTGGTTGCCCCAATTGTCACTCTACTTGGAATATGGATCCACAGTCCTTTAACACTTGGAATTGTTAGACTTTTTCATTTTTGCTAATTGAATGGGTATAAGATGGTTATCTCATTGGGGTTTTAATTTACGTTTCTCTGACAATTAATGATGATGAATACTTCTTCTCATGCTATTGGCCGTATGTCTTTGTTCTGCCATGAAATGTCTCTTCATATATTTTGATCACTTTTCTCTTGGGTTGTCATTTTCTTACCGGTCTGTAGGAGATGTTGGGCAAGTTACTTAATCGTTTTTGAGATAATTTCTGCATCTGCAAAGATGAGGATGGGACTTCCTTGGTGGTGCAGTGGTTGGGAGTCTGCCTGCCAAGGCAGGGGACATGGGTTCGAGCCCTGCTCCGGGAAGATCCCACATGCCACGGAGCAACTAAGCTTGTGCACCACAACTACTGAGCCTGAGCTCTAGAGCCCACAAGCCACAACTACTGAGCCTGCATGCCACAACTACTGAAGTCCGCGTGCCTAGAGCCTGTGCTGCGCAACAAGAGAAGCCACCGCAATGAGAAGCCCGCGCACCGCAACGAAGAGTAGCCCCCACTCGCCGCAACTAGAGAAAGCCCGCGCGCAGCAATGAAGACCCAACACAGCCAAAAATAGATAGATTTATTTTTTTTAAAAATGGGGATGATAATTCGGTGTTCAGAAGGTTGATTTTCGGATTCATGTTTACATATGGTACCGTAAATACTGACATAGAGCACAACAGATGATCAAAAAAGAAAGTTAGTTCTTGCTCTCTGCTTTAGTGAGCAAAAACTAACTTTGGACCCTCCATTTGGTAGACTGGCTTTGTTGGAATTTGCCCCATTTGCTTAGTTGGAGAATCTCTGCTTATTGGCCTGGGCAGTGTAGTCCTCCTAATATTTTTATACTTTAGGGAATAAAGCAGTTCAATGAACTCAGACTCCCTTGGAAGAAATACAGGGAAAGAAAGTGGAAGGGCAGAACTTCAGTGGAGTCCTTGGAAAAATGAAGGAGAAAAAAAATCAGTGTCACTATTCCATTTTGCTCTCAATAGCCCTGTCTGTAGATGTTTGAAGTGTGTATTCGTATGGCAATGGGGGAAACTAAGGAGTTTTTAAATGCTCATCTACATAGTTAAACTGAAAATTCGATACTAAGCAAAAGATTCTGCGGTGCTGCTTGGGAGCCGGAGGTCATAGGAAGCCCTATGTGACTTGAGGTGTTCTGTTTGCTGCTGCTGAAGCTCCTTCCACAGCACTTTTCCGAGTGCTGCAGTCATGCAGAGAAGCTACAGAGGGAACCAGCAAGACCATTAGGAGACAGATCTGAAAGACACTGTAAGATATTGTGCAGTGATTTCTGCCTGCTCCTGGCTTGTTTTTCGAGCGCTGAATTCAAGGAGAGTAGCTGGATGTGGTAGGAAAACAATTGCTTTACCGTGGTTCTGTTTGTGTATCATTGAGTCTATTCTTGGAGGAATAGAAGCCAGGATGCCAGCGCTCCGGTCACTTTGAAATCGCTGCACTGCAGTATGCCGTCCTTCATCTGCCTCTATCTGTGCTCAAAGTCCCTCTTAGGATTTGGAGGTAACGTTTTCGTCTTCCTAACATGAATAGTACTTATGAGAGATGACCGTTTTTAGGGATTTACTCTTAATTGGATAAATATTTAAGCAAGTCCACATGTAAATTCAACCAGGGAAATGTGGAAATTCTTCTTTAGTGCCCGATGCCTCTGAAAATGTTGGTTCATTCATGACTTTGCTATGTTGATTGTTCTCTAGCTTTCCTCTGGTTTAAAAGCTTTGCTTTTCAGTTTTTAGTAGGAAAATCTGGAAATCGGAACAGACGAGGTTTAGCCACAATGTCATCTCACCTTTCCCTTTGTCCTTCTTAGTCTCCGCCAGTCTGATTCATCAGAAACTCTTTGCTCTAAGGATACATCTTAGAGAGTTTGGAAACAGCTTTTAGTTGTGATGGCAACTTCAGCTGAAGAAATGGTTAAGAGAAAAGTTTGAATGCTCTCCAAAGACAAGAATGCCACGGGCTTATGCCCAGGTTTTGTGGTTCCCAAGTTGTAATTCACTTTCCTTTGTGCCAAGAATTACACAGACGAAGAGTCAAATATAACTTAACTTATTTCGTAAGTAATTGTAAAAACAACTTCATTAAAACATGGATGATACATATACCTCAAAGGGATGAAGCTGTCAGTCAAGCCAGGAACCTATCTCAGGCTGGAGAATCTCATGTCTGGCTCCCTCGGTGGCTTTTGTCGGTCTTTTGTTGATCATTAGGAAAATGAATTTTAACAATAATTGGTGTTAGAAGTGACTAATTAGCAAGGTATGTATACAGAAACTCAGAGAGGGTTTTCAGTGGGCTCTTCTCCTGTTGAAATGTATTGATCTTGACATGTATTTAATCAAGAGGGTTCTTAATCTTTCCAAAGGGGCTGCTTCCTATCTGTCATCTTCCTCATCCTGAGAGACACGGGGCTTTGGATGAACAGGAACGTAACCCCTTTCCTGCCAACTACTGAGTTGCTAATTTCTCTTAATTCTTTCCTTTTCTGATAGTAACTTTCAAAAACATTATTATTAGCTGGGAGATTTTGGTGTGATATTTTGAGTATTATCCTTATATTGTACCACATTATATTTTCCTTTGATTGTCTGCTTCTGAAATATTTCTTACATTAATTTTTCAGTGAATCCAGAAATTTTTGCAAAACTATACAAAAATTAACTTTCTCTTATGGAAGTTACAGAGAAAATAGGCCTCTCTTAATAGAGCTGTTTTGCTTCAAATGAACTTTGATAGAATGTACCTTTTAGTTTCAAATTGGTGAGAAATTATTTGTACAGAAAATCCAAATCTTGCCCCTTGTTGTTATTGGTACCTGTAGTTTTAGTCACACTTTATTTATGTATTTATTTATTAAAAGTTCGGTTTTGGGCTTCCCTGGTGGCGCAGTGGTTGAGAGTCCGCCTGCCGATGCAGGGGACAGGGGTTCGTGCCCCGGTCTGGGAAGATCCCACATGCCGCGGAGCGGCTGGGCCCGTGAGCCATGGCCGCTGGGCCTGCGCGTCCAGAGCCTGTGCTCCGCAATGGGAGAGGCCACGGCAATGAGAGAGGCCCGTGTACCGCAAAAAAAAAAAAAAAAAAAGTTCGGTTTTATTTATTTATTTTTTATTTATTTCTTAATTTTTGGCTGTGTTGGGTCTTTGTTGCTGCGTGCAGGCTTTCTGTAGTTGCCACGAGCGGGGGCTACTCTTTGTTGTGGTGTGCAGGCTTCTCATTGCGGTGGCTTCTTGTTGCAGAGCATAGGCTCTAGGCGTGCCGGCTCAGTAGTTGTGGCACACAGTCTCAGTAGTTGTGGCTCGGGGGCTCTAGAGCGCAGGCTCAGTAGTTGTGGTGCACGGGCTTAGTTGCTCCGTGGCATGTGGGATCTTTCCGGACCAGGGTTCGAACCCACGTCCCCTGCATTGGCAGGCAGATTATTAACTACCACGCCACCAGGGAAGTCCCTATTCACACTTTATGTGTAAGGAGAATAAGAACCAGAGAGGTTTGCATGACTCAGAATTAAACAGGAAATAGTGGAACAAACAGAGGGACCTAAGAACAGAAAGCAGTCTCTTCCCTCCAGGTTGAGAACTTTCTCCCCACCAGTAGCCATCCCTACGGCACCAGCTGCCAGCCCTATGGTACCAGTGTGGTCTAACTGAAGTAGTAGGCATGCACTGGAATCTGGTGGGCACACTTGGAGAAGTTATGATAAAGTCAGGTTATGAAGGGCTTTACAAGTTGGATGGAAGAGGCTAGAAATGAGAAAAGTTGTGTCAGGGGGTTCCCAAATTCAGTTACTTGCTAGGAGGACCCATAAGATTCCGCATACATTTGTGCTCACAGCTGAGATTAATTACAGCAAAATGTTGCAGAGCAAAAGCAGCAAAGGGAAAGGGTGCGTGGGTGATGCCTTGGGGAAACCAGCCCTGAGCTTCCAAAGGTCCTCTGCCCACGTAGTCACACAGGACATGCCTAATTCCTCCAGCAACAAACTGACAACACGTGGAAAATGGTGTCCACCTGGGAGCTTACTAGAGACTCCACGCCCAGGAGTTTTATTGGGGGCTGGTCCCATGGACATCCTCTGCCGAGTACCCATCAGAATTCCAGGCTCCCAGAAGGAAAGTGGGCGTTCGGCATAAGCCACATCGTTTGTACCAACAGTTTGGGCCCAGCAAGTCACCTGATCAGCTGGGAGCAAAGGGGACTCTTTCCCAATCAAGTACCAGCCAAGGGCCACCCTTGCGAGCAGGGCTTTCTAAGGATAGCATCTCAGCCCTGCTGTGCACAGGAGCTACTGTAGGTTATTGAACAGCTACGGTGACCTTGAAAACCGTGGTTCAAAAGATTCCATTGGAGTGGAGTGGAGAACAGAGTGGAGTAGTTGGTGAGAGACTGGAGCCGGGAGATTGGAAATAATCCAGTCCAAATCTCAGCTATCAGTATGAGAATAAAAAGAGGAGGGATAGATGTGAGAGATAGTTGGCCAGGAGAATAAATGGCTTGGAGATAAGGAAGGAGGGAACAGGAAGATGTTTTCAAGTCTGGGAAATGAAATACCTGGTAGGTTTTTTTCTGGCAGAAGACGATTACTTAGGTAGAGCCACTCAATGGGGAGGGAAACATTCTAAATTCTGGATATATTGATTTAATATATAATTCATATATATTATATATTATGTTTAGAATATATATTTATATTATAATATGTATATTATATATTATAAAGTAATCAAAGTATATGTATATTTATTGTATATATTATAAAATAGGCATATTTTACCACCAATGAAATACATTCAAGATATTGGTAAATTATTAAAAAAACTGATTCTAGCATGAAATTCACGTCCATAGTATATTCTTGTGTCATGATTAGACAAGTAGAGTAAATCGCATAATAAAATAATTAGTGTTGAGAGGAAAATTTGACTTGTAGTAGCAGTGAAGGAGACACTGTTAACAGACATAATTTTAACCTAGAAATAGTATTCACATCATTTAAAAGTATTTATTTGTAGCAACTTTTATTCTCCTTACCACTCATTGACAGTTGGAACGCTTTACCTGAGCTGTGTAATCTCATCTTGATTTTTTTAAAAACATAAATAGCTCATGTTTTCTTATGTGTTTGCAAGTAAGAAAGAAGTAGCCTGTGAGCAATCCCCTAGAGGTTTCTGTGCGGTATCTCCAGCCACATGGCTTCTGAGAGTCCACAGTTATATTTCCTCCCCATAGTTAATACATTAAATATCCAAGTCCTATTTATTGATTATAATATAACTGCTTTTCATCAGAAAAATAATCATTTCACTTAGCCAAAACAACATTTCTTCATTCTACATGTGTTTTTTTTTTTTTTTTTAATGAAGGTTCTCTCTCACTTGTGGGCGCAGAAAGTATAGTAACAGGTTTGGGATAATTTTTAGATTTGCATGTGTGGGGGACACATGTGATGCAGGAGTTGGGCAAAACTACTTCCTAAATATGTATTGTGGAGACGACATTCTTATGTTATACAAATTGGATGTGTCATGATTTTAAATGTCACCTTCGGATTCAATGTAAGAAATTCCTGACTGGCATTTTCTTGACTTTCCTTAGAAGTGACCACGTAGCTATGGAAACTTACTTTCAGTTCCTTGCTGCTCAAGAGTGAGATTTTTCTCTTTCCTTCTGGCGAGCCCTCCCCGCCCCACCTACTCCTGTTCCTCAGAACTCTTGCCATCTGCTTTAAATGTCAGGACTCCCATAAGTGGGGGGTGGGATGGGGCATCCTTCATTCTACTTGGATTCACAAAGTGCAGGTGTAAAAACAGGAAGAAGATTATCTTCTTTATCTTCCACGAGACTGTTTTGTTTGCTGTGAATTTTTAAAACTCACATCCTGTGTTGCTCTTAAGTACTTGAATTAGGTACACCAATTGTTCAAATAGAATAAATGGTTGAGGAAGTCAGAGTTAAAAGACAATATGGGAATGAAAAAGCAAAGCCAGGCCTAGATGAGTCTGAGAGGTGTATACCTTCATGCCTTGTGCATGAGGTAGGTTGCAGGTTTGGCTCTTAGGTTCCTAGCAGGGAAAGTGAAGAGGAAAACATGATCAGTGACAGATTTGAAATATCTGTAAGATAAAAATCCAAGTTTTCCAAATCCTAAAACCCAAGAGGAGATTCTTCTGTAGATGCTCTTTAAGGGTAAAGGACAGTAATTCACCAGCACCCTGTAACAGATAGTGAGACTCATATGGCTTTTGGCCAGGATGTCATCAATATATGCTTATTTATATGCTGCACAAACCTACTTGAGCAGAAGCAGTTCTAAAAAGACCACCGATTCCCAGTACACAGTCCTGCCCAAAAGCAAAATTAAGGAAATTCAGAGGAATAGGCAGCCCTGTATCCTTTGGGTGATTATATCCATGGATGTATTTCTCCCAACTGGGATTTTAATAAGAATTACTCAACACAGAATATTGGTTTATTATCTCTGACTAAAACCAGGAGTGGCAGTGTTG